CAACATTTATTTTAATTCAATTAAAAGGCAGAATAGCATTTAATTTGGTTTTAATAACAGAGTTAATGTGTGATAACTAAATGCAATGGATTGTTAAAGAAAAAGTTAGCAATCAATTGAGATCAAAACATGAGATATAAATCTTGTTGCTGCCCCATTAACACAAAATTGCATAAATAACAAATGTCTGATCAGATTCTCCGTAATGAAGAGCTGCACGTACTTATTAAGAGTTTTTTTTTGGGGGGGGGGCTGTTCCTTCCAGGAGCGCCGCAAGGAGACCCACCTCCCCTTGCAAAGATCCAGGGAGGCGGAAGAGCTGCTTCCTGGCTCAGCTGCCAAGAACGCACAACACACAGGTTTGCCAGGCCTTGCGAACCCAGCGGCCCTCTTCTCTCCCAAGCCATGGGTTAGCGGGGCTGAGGGTTAAAATCTCAGCAGCCACCTGGAGCCAACCGAGGCTCCCCGGAGGGACAAAGGCCCGGCCATTCCTGGTTCCGAGGGGATATTAAAGTCTCGATCACCCCAGAGCCCATCATCCCTTTCCTGCAGAGTGAAGGCAGCCAGGTGCTTCTGGGTGCCAAGAGCAGGGGCGCCCCCCTCCTGCCATGAGAATTGGTCGGTTGGGGGGGGGCTGCCCCTTCAGACGCGGCTTCGAAGCTGGTCAGGCAGGGGGAGAGGAGGAGGAGGGGGGAGCAGGGGTGGCCCCCGGGGGGGGGCAGGAGACGCGGAACAGAGCGGTCCCAAGGCCGGAAGGAGGGCGAGGCCGGCGGGGCAGGCAGGCAGCCGCCTCCGCTCCGACGGAGGAGGGAGCTGTCCATGGTCCTCAGCGGGGCAGAGCCGGATGGGGACCATCTATCTCCCTGAGGGTTGATTCCTGGGTTTGCGATGCCCGTGGAGGCAGAAAGCCGGAAGTCACTTCCTGGGGATTGTTACTGCGTGGTTAAGGACTGTTCGCTCCTTTTACCAGCTCCATTCATTGAGGACTAGTCTCTTGAGCCCCTTCTCATTTCCTCACTCAGGAAACCCCGCCCCCAAATTCACCAGGGCTGCATTCTGAGCAAGTGGGAAAAGTTTGTTGCCAAGATCAGCAGGGATTTTAAGTGGGGTTTATTTTCCTCACAGGACTTACAGTTATTGTGATTATTATGATTATTGCTTCAGCCCTGCCTGCCGATCTCTTTAGGATCGGTGGAGGAACGACCGAGGAAGTGCAGGAGATGCCAACCTCTCCTCGTCCTTCATGCAGCATGTCCCCCCATCCCTCTCGGGAGGCATTTCGCAGATGGCAGCCCTGAGTGCCCACCGCCCTCCCCGTCCTCCTCCTCCTCCTCCGGCTCGGAGGGAGCATCAGAAGCAAATGCTGGGAGCGCCAAGCAGAAGCTGCCCCAGGTCAGAAAGGCCTGGAGGGCCCTGGCCACAACTGGCCACCAGGCTCCTGTCTCACAACGGCCTCCGTCTGATCTATCTCTGTGGGTGTGTGTGTGTGTGGCTGTGTGTGTAGGTTGTGTGAGTCTAGCCACAGGAAGACAGATGTAAAACACACCAGTCGAGTGCAGTTTCCCAGGGAGCAGCTGCCAAAGGGGAACCTCAGACGTCGCCCAGGGGACCCAGCCTGGCGAGCCCTCTGACCACTTTCCATTCCCGCTCGGAGGGCTCCAGTGCAGCTGTGGGCGCCCGGCATTGGCAGACTTAAATAGCCTTCTTCGATGGACGAGGGCGGGATGTTTTTAATGTTTCTATTTTTGAGTAGTTATCTCGGTAATCCTTTGATGGATCTGTGAGATGTGCATAATTTGAATACAAACCTAAACCAAGAGTAAAAGAAATATAATTATATGATCACAACTGGAGCATGGCTGGTGCGCCTGATAAAATGAGGGAGGCCCACCCCGGCTGGCAGACGGGTGTGACGGAGCAGAGCAGACGGGGGAAAGCGGAGAACAACCGAGACTAGCAGTTAGAAGGAATTAATGAAACGCCGAGGATAATGGCTGCTTGGGAGGGTGAGAGTGGGTGATTCACGATGCCACAGGGAATGTGAGTTTGATAGGCTGTCATTCAAAAACTGCTCTCACTTTGTCTTTGGCTTTTCACCACCACCCCCTATGTCAACAGGCAAGACCCCTTTCTGTGTCAGCGTGAGAGTAAGGAGGCGGTGAACAAAGGAGGGGGGAAGGAAGCCAGCCCCTCGGGGGTCCTAGCGAGGAGGGAAGGACCAGCCTGGCCTGGATCTCACCGGGTCTGCCCAGGGCCCCAGTGGGCCAGCAGGGTCTCTGGGGCCAGAGCAGAGACAGGCTGAGCCCAAGGAGGAAGGGTGGACGGTGCCTCACAGGGAGCCTGGCAGGGACCCTCCTGAGCTGGCAAACATCTGGGCCCCGTCAAAGGCAAGCCCCTCCCCTCTCCTTGGCAAAGGGGGGGGGAGACCACAGGGCAGTCAACACTGGGCCATTCAACAAGCATTAAGTACACACTTCATGTCCCTCTTTAATGTTAACTCGGTTAACGCAAAGAACAGCTAAATTGTTACAATTTGGGTATGGATCAGTTTCACCTGTGTTGATTTGTGAATCCATCCTAATCCATCCAAGTGAATCCATCTTCTGAGGGAGGGAGAAATGGCTGAATCTGAGGCCCCACAAGCACATCCAGGCCACTCCATCCATCATGGTCACTCGTGGTCAGCCGAAAGTCTTCTCTGTTTTCCCAGCTTATCCTCACGGAATCCTTCAGATTGCATTTACCACAACTGATACTCTGACTAATGAAACACTGGAGTTTGTGCAGCGAGGAAGGTGGAGTTCTAGATCTCACATCTGTCTGGACTCCTTCAGTCCTTAGAAGTTGCCTCCACAAGTGGGTCTTCACACTGGCCAAATCTTGTGTCTACTTGCCAGCTGGTTTCCAGGAGCAAATCTTGGACTATCATCCAACTGTCCTCTGCAAGCGGGGGGGGGGGGGGGGGGGGGGGTGGGGGGGCGTGTGGGGGTGTTAGGGTGTCAGCTACTGTTACATCTCCTTTGCACTGCAGAGCTATGGACAAAACCAGAGAGCACTTCTTTCATTCGCCAATGGGGATTTCTCGTGTTTCTTTCTAAATAAAGGTGGAGACAGCATGAGACAGTGGAGTGTTATTGCACAAGTCTGGGTGTGTGCAGAACCGATGGGAACAAGTTCCTTTTTGGAAAGCAAGGGGAGACTGTGGGTGTGTGTCTCCATGCACACATACAAACACAAACACACATGTGCATGTGACTGAGGGGGAGACTTGCAACCAGCCTTAAGCCCACCGAAATGAAGAGGGCTTTGAGAGAGGAGGGCCTCATGCAGCAGAGCTTGATGAAGGCCTTGGAGATGATCCACACGTCCATGGGCAACGGGACAACTGAGACCGGAGTGTGGACACTCTCTTGCACACCTGCCCACCGGTCCCTCCCGCCTCCCCGTCACTCATTCCCTTCCAACATCCATATGGTGAAGAAAACAGGGTTTTCCTCTGGACTGAACAGGGAATTTGGACACTAGTAAGAAAGTGTGAGAAAACATTTCTGGATTTTTTCCCCAGTAGAAATACTTTTAACAACCAATTCATGTTGTCAAGAGGCTGGATGGAAATTACAAACCATGAAATGTCTGGATTGATGCATCAGCAAATGCTGGTCTGTCCTGAGCAGGGCCTTCCTCTGAAGGCGGGGGCCCCCATAGGTAGCTGGAGACCTAGAAGGCCCCGGGGCTCTGGCCGGCCGAGGGGCCAAGGTCTTCGTCTTCGTCCCTTAACGGGATAAAGTGATGCCAGAATCCTAGGTGGCGGCACATGTTCAACGCTCTGTAGTGTTTTGGTGAGGGGATACACACACGCACACACAAATGAGAGAGTCCCAGAGTCTCCTGCAGTACAGTCTTAAATCATGAACAAAGGCCAATCTACAATACGTGTCCCGGGATAATGTTGCAGGATCTCATCTGGATCAGTCACCGGGACTGTGTGGGAAGATGGAGTTCAGCAGGGTGTGAAAGTCTCTCAGTGCATTTCTTTTGATGATGACAAACGTGACGTCCCTGTAACAGTACCAAAATTTAGGTGTGTAGTTTTGAAATGCACGTTCTCATTTGCACAGGTGACCAACCCAGATTGGATCCTGCAGTCTTAAATCCTCTTTTTTCTAGGCGTCCAAGACGGCCTCAGCGCTTTGGCTGCTGGCATCCCCAGAGTCCAGCGTGGAAAAGCAGCAGGGGCCGGGAAAGCCCCTTCGGCGGTCAGACCAGCAAATGGCCGGTTTCAGCAGCTGCCTCCCTCCCTTGGACGTCTGGCAGACCAAATCCGGGCGAGGCTGGCTGCTCTTCCCCTAGACGGGCCTCTTTCTGCCAACTGCCCCCCCAGCAGAGCCCAGAAGTGATGGGGGGGCTCAGCCTTGCTGCTCAGCTAGTGCAGGCCGGCGCCAGTCCCCCTTGGCAGGGGCCCCACTGAGGCTGAGGGGAGCAGGGCTTCCGCTCCTCTGCTGGGGCCCTCTGGGGTCCAGCCCTTGGAGGCAGGGAGGCAGGGAGCATCCGAGGACCCCGGGAGGCAAGGTCCCTGTGAAAGATACTCCTGAGGCTGGCATTGAGCACTCTGGGCGAGGGGATCTCGCCCGAGCCAACTTAGGAAAACAGGGCAAGATCTCCTCATTATTGGTCTTGAGGTCACTTTTGCTTCTGTCCTGACTTTCCCTCCCATGGATGGCCCGAGCGTGCTGGCCGAACTCCCCCACCAAAGGCGAGGCCCAGAAATCGGGGGCAACCCTGGTTCAGCCAAAGGGGAGGGGGTGAAGCTCACCTTCCTCCATGGCTGGGTAGCAGGAAAGCAAAATCACGGGGTCATGGCAGCAAAGAGACTCATGGCCAGGGCAGCTGGGGACAGGCGCTCCAACCGGTCAGTTGCACCCAGAGAGATGGGGGAGCCTCTCCCACTTTCTCCTGGCCACTGGCACTGTTGCCCCCAGTTCTGCCTCTGGGACACAAGGATGGCTATGGGGCCTGGGGAGCAAATGGACGTGGTTTCCAGGTGAGGAGGGAGTCTTGAGGCAGCCGGCCAGGGCTGGAGGAGCAGGGAGAAGGATGCTCCTCTCTTCCAAGCCAGAATTTGGCAAGAGGGGAACATCCAGACTAGCAGATCTTCTGGGCTCCCCCCCCCCACAGCCGCTTCTTCAGCTGCACCCCCAGATAATTACAGTTCAGAGAGCTGGCAAAAACTGCAGTGCAAAACATTTGAGTACATTTTAAGGTGGGTTCCTTTTAACACTTGTATTTGAGTACGTAAAAGTTGAAATGAGATAAGTTTTTATTTGGGGCTTCCTATTGTCTTTCTTTTTAAAAAAAACAGCACGCTTTTGCCATATTGTGCATTTTTAAAGTCAAATGTCATTTTTAACAAATGTATCTCTTCTCCTTGATAATAGCATAGTACAAGGGTTCATATCTTTCACTCATAATTACCTCAGTAATATTTATGAACCAACATCTCCATAATTTATCTAATAAAAGGCGAAACAAATGGATAATCAGAGCAATGGCTTTCGGCTTCATTACCTTGCATAAACCCAATTTGCACCCACCCCCAGGCAGATGCAGGCTTCCCATCCCTTTTCTCCGCCATGCTCTCTCCCTGGGGGGGGGCAGGGGGGCGGGCTAGCCATCGCATGACGGCCTGGTCATCCGGCAAAGGGGATCAAGGAGTGACTGCGCCAGAACACGGAAGAGCCCGGAGTGTCTCTTTTCTCAGCTGAGTTGGCTGGATTACAGCTTGTGGGAGATGGATTAGGAAGGAGGCTGGTTCAGCCCCACCCACCCACCCCCCAGCAAGAGGGGCCTGGCACTACAGAGCAGCTGCTTCATTAAGCTCCCAGGACGCCTGATGCAGATCCAGCCTGATGCAGATCCAGCTGTGCATCCAGCGCAAGCCCAAGGACTGCGTCTCCCTGCAGCCAGCAGGAGCCCCTGGAACGGGCAGGAATCCAGCTGCAGCTGGAGAGACCCTCCCCGCCCTGCTTTCCAGCTGAGGGCGCTGTTGCCCCACCAGAGGCAGAATCTGCTGAAGGAATCTGCAGCCTAGAGTGAAAGGGCTTCCCAGAAAGACGCCCCCCCTGGAGAGAGCAGAGGGAGCAGCCGCTCTTCAGGTGGCCCCAGGAAATGGAAGAGAAAACATCTGGCCAGATTCTGTTCTTTTTTTTAAAAAAAAAAAAAAATTTTAAAGTTTTACATAGACATAAAAACTAACCCAAACTAATAAAAAGAAAAAAGCAGGAAAGAGAGAAAAGAAAAAGAAAGAAAGAAAATAGAAAAATGCAGAAAAAAGAAGAAAAAGAAAGAAGAAGCTTCCAATTTCTTTGGGAAGTACAATCACAAAGTCATATCTCTATTATTTCTTTTTAAAAAGCCCACTCTTTTTTATTATCCAGATTTTTTTTTCCTAATCATCAAATCCCCAACATAAGCACATTTTTCCAATTTTTATGCAAAAAGACTCTAAGCGATTTCCCATCATCGATAAATATAGTTTTCCCTCTAAGCAAAGGAGTTAATTTAGCCTCCTCAGCAAATTCCAACGTCCTCACCAGTCATTCCCCATTCTGGGCATTATTGACCTTTTCCACTTTCAAGCATAATATTAATCTTGTTGAGTTATTATATATAAAAACTAAGTTCTATGATTTTTTTATTGCTTATCAATTAGTCCCCCCTCCAAAAACGTCTTGATTTCAATTATGTCTTAACCTTTTGAAATCTTCCAAATTAATGTATGTATTTGATTTTGAAATTTTGAAAGCCTTTTTACACATACACCAGGCATGACAAAATGTCCCTTCAAGTTGTTCACATTTCCAGCAAAGATTCAAAGTACCTTTCTACATTCTATCTAATTTCCTTGGTGACAAATACCAGTGATTCATTGTTTTATAAAAATTCCCTTTAAGACTAGAACCTAATGAAAATTTCAGTCCTTCCAGCCACATATTTTCCCATTGGTCCGTCTGTATATTATAGTTAATCTTTCTTAGCCCGTTTTATCATACATTCCTTGACTTGTTATTCTTCTGTCCCACATCTCAACAAACGTTTACGCATTTTAGCAATAAGCTACTCAGGCTCAGGTTTCCAGCTGGGCAGGCAGGACTAGTGGTCAGTCCTGGCTTCCATGTTCTGGTGCACACAAACATTTTCCCTTCCGGAGAGCTGCAAGAGTATGATGCCCGCCTGTTACTTTCGTAGGCCACCAACATTAAGCTGTTGCAGTGAGGTGTCTCTGGGACCCGTGTTTGCTCTTGTCTCATGGAGCAAAGTCCTTCTTCCCACAGGAGAAAAGCGAAGGAAACCACGTCAACAGAAGAGCTGCAAATGCTCTAGAGCAGAGGTCCGCAACCTTTTGGGCACCAGGGACTGGTTCCCTGGAGAAAAGTTTTTCCACGGACCGGAGAGTGCATGGTTTTGTATGCTGCCTGCATCCCACGGATGGGGCTTGGCTTGTTTGTGTGGACCGGTTGCTGTCATGCCACAGATTGGTGCTAGTCCACGGACCGGGGATTGGGGACCCCTGCTCTAGAGCTGTTGCCTCCAGGCCCCAAATCCAGGCCCCAAATCTCTCCCTGCAGGGGCAGCCAGGGAGACGGGCCCCGCTTGGGGGACCCTTCCCAGCCAGGCCCTTCTGTCTGCAAGGCCTGCGCCTGTTGCGTCTGGCTCCTGGCCTGGGAGGCCCCCAGGAGGGACGGATGGGAAGCCCATCAGATTTCACCTGCCATCCAGTGACATCCTTCCTCAGAGAGCTCATCTCGGTCCGGGCCGCTCACAATCACGGCGAGGCAAGATTAGGCCATCCATCTCAATTGTGGAGGCAGCCTTTGGCCCCCATATTATCCTATCTGTCATGTCCTCCTCAGGCTCCCAAAGAATCCCTGTCTCATACATCATTATTTTCTACAGAGCCTGAAGGCCCCCCCAGGAGCTGCTTCCCACTCCCTGCCCCACCCGCCAGGTCCAAGTGCCTTGAGCTGCGGGGCCCGAGGCAGCCGCCCGCCGGGCAGGGCCAAATCTGCATACCAATGGGAGCTTCTCTCAGCCTGAGGGGCAGCTAGAGAGAGGAGGAGGAGGAGGAGGAGGAGGAGGAGGAGGAGGACGGGGGGGGGGGAGCTGACAAAGAAAAGCAGGAATCCAACCTGAGCTCCGTCCCAAGGAATGTCTTAGGTCCCCATTCAAGGAAAAGACAGGGAACAGGACGTGTCCTGGAACTGACAACCCGCTTGAGGCACAACATGTGAGGGATTGTCAGTGCGCCTGTTGACTTGGGGTTGTCATGCCAGGAATTTGGGAAGCTGCCGTTTTAACCCAACCGGAGGGCCTCGTGCAGCTGCTTCTGAGCTGCAGGCCTACTGCGGCCACTTGGTCATCTGTATTGGGCACACACACACACACACACACACACACACCAAGAGCAGATTCGGGGAAGGCTGAGCTAAGGTCGGCCGTGGAATTAAGTCGGGTTTTGGCCAGGTGGACCAGGGCAGTCGCTCAACGGCGTGCACGTCTCCCCAGTACGGCTACGCTTAAGCAGCTGCCAACAGCGGCTGGGCCACAACCACATGCAGCGTGTCTCTCTGGATCCCCCAACATAGTGGCTGTCACTTACTAACCAGGCATCTCAGATGTCCCCCCCCCCAAGTTACTGGAGGAATTGTTAGATGGGGCCCCAGATGTCTGGTTCTGCCCCATATACCAGAAGAGCCCCATTTAAGCAATAGACGGGACACCATTGTTGGGCTGCTGATGTCCACCCCCATCCGTGATTCAGCTTATGGTCCTCCAGCTGTTTCTGGCTGCATCTTCTGTCAGCCCTCACCCTCACCGGCTGGCTGGGATCTGGAAAGATGGGAACCGCTGTCCGGAAGAACTGGAGTCCACCATTTTGAGGGCTCTCTTTCTCCTTCCCCTGAGACCTCCCGGCAGGCGTCTGTCTCTCTGAGCTGCGTCTACGAAGTCTCTCCTGGTGCCGCTGCCAAAAGCACCACAGAAAAGCCCCGCGGGGGGAGGGGGGGTTTCTTCTGTGTTTTCTTTTTCTTTTCTGTTTCAGCAGGAGCCGCTTGGTGCATTGGAGCCCAGAGGCTGCTGGACGCACCAGCTTAGATGCCCCTGACTGTGGCGCCCAGGAGGGCAAAAGTGGTCAACCCTGGAGTGGGCTGTCTGTGGGTGGCACCAATGGGAGGATTCGGAGTCCAATCCCCACCCGGGGCAGGACGGGGCAGCTGCTGTATCTCCAGACAGCACCTCCCCCCAACACCCAAGGCCTAAGCAGCTTGGAACCGGTCACATTATGGGGGGGCAAATGTCCATTCCCATCCATCTCAGACCTTCACAGGTGCAGTGAGTGCCTCGTTCCCTCCCAGATCAGAATCCCCAGCCAACTTGACAGGGAAATCAGACGCCTCGGGAGAGGGCTGGGGAGGTGTGTGTGTGTGTGTGTGTGTGTGTGTGCGTGCGTATCCTACCTTGCGCTCATTGCCATGGTGACTTGTTTACCCAAGGCCCATCAGTGTGGTGACTGACTTGGGGGCTCTCCTGTTCTGGAGCAGGACTGCGAACTGCCTGCTGGTGGACTTTACTGCCAGCACTCAGACATGTTACTTTTTCGAAATGTAGACATTAGGAAATCTGTTATCTTCAAATCAGCTACATAAACCCCCTAATTACAGGCTTCTTGCAATGCTGTAATTTTCCTGCTAGCTTTACAGCTGCTGCATTTTAAAAATATGACATAACAGCGACCAAATTTTCCTGGATTTTTCTCCAGAGTTCTTGAAGTCCAGGTTGTTGGAGAAAATTAGGGTAGCGGACAAAGTCCTAAGTTCTGCTCTCTCCAACCCAAGGTAGCCTCCTGGGTGACTTTGGGGTGCTCACTGTTTTGGCCCACAAAATTCCCCAGGGTTGTTTTTCTGGGGCAAAACGAGGGGGCCCCTCGTAGAAGCGTCTTGAGCTCCTGGAGAAAAGCAGGATCTAAATTTAGCAAAGCAGCAGCAG